CGTCTGGTTGGCATTTGCTACCTGTAGCGCAGGGACCCTTCCATTTACTTCACTGTGAATTCTCCGTTGTTCAAATTGACCTTCAGCTGGAGGATTTGCGGGTGACTTCCATATAGACAGCACTTGTTAAATACTGTTTGGAAGTGTGCTACCCATCATTGATTTTGAACTTTTCTGATATTCGCTATCTGACAGAACTGAAGGCAAATTAGAAAGCTGAGTTTTATAGACCATCAGAAGAATTCCATCAGCAACATAAAAGGCAGAAAACCTGACTCGAGGCTCCGAAAAAAGTGAAATGTTTGCAGCATTTCCATTTCCTCTATTTTGATGGGAGAAAAAAGAAAAAAAAGAAAAAGAATGGGGCCCCTAGTGATGTCATCACCCTTTTAAGACACAAAAAGGAAAAGGGACCTTCAGTATCCATCGGTGGCGTCAAATGGTGAACATGAGCAGTCTTAATAAAAACAGCATTTTAGAACATATTTCAGAGGTTTCTTAGGATGCAAAATGTGTTTTTTTTTAATATATATTATTGATTTTTTACAGAGAGGAAGGGAGAGGGATAGAGAGTTAGAAACATCGATGAGAGAGAAACATCGATCAGCTGCCTCCTGCACACCCCCCTAACTGGGGATGTACCCACAACCAAGGTACATGCCCTTGACCGGAATCGAACCTGGGACCCTTCAGTCCGCAGGCCGATGCTCTATCCACTGAGCCAAACCAGTTAGGGCAGGATGCAAAATGTTTTTAAATGATAAGCATAATCTTTACTAGAGATATTTTTTTAAAAACCTCAAATGTTTGCAAATTCATTGTTTTTAAAGAGATTCATTAAAAAGTCCATAAATTATTTCCTAAAAAAGAAAAAAAAATCTTAAAACAAGCCATTTCTTTACTAATAACCTAAGAATTTGCATGCAAATACCAAAGTGAAAAAAAATAAAAGGAAGAAAACATGGCATTTCATGCATTTTTTAAAAATGTAACAAAATCCTGACCGGTGTGGCTCAGCTGGTTGAGCTTAGTCTCTTGCGCCGAAAGGTCACTGGTTCGATTCCCAGTCAGGGCGCATGCCCAGGTTGCAGGTTTGATCCCCGATCAGGGTGCTTACTGGAGGCGGCTGATTGGTGTTTCTCTCTCACATCCATGTTTCCTTTCTCTTTCTCTCTTCCTTTCCCTTCCTCTTTCTCTAAAAGTCTCTTTTTTAAAAACCATATTAAAATAAAAAGAAAATGAATTTTTAAAAAATGTAATAGAAAGACTGGTTGCCCTGTACAAGAAGTAGCCACAAAAACAGGATGACTGATACACTATTATAATGTTCATTTCAGAACATACATTATGATTAAATGTAAGGGGGAAAACCAAAACAGTATATAAATATTTGGCAGCTGTCTTCTTGCTTTAGCTCTGATGTTATAAACAAGTGGCCTTTTAGTGGTTTATTTAGTGCCATGTTTTTCACACTTTTGTGCTTTTCTTTTTTATCCTCACCCAAGAATATTTTTTTCCATTGCTTTTCAGAGAGAGTACTAGAAGGGACACAGGGAGTGAGAGAAACATGGATGTTAGAGAGACACATCGACTGGTTGCCTCCCACAGGAACCCTGACTGGGGCAGGGAGCGAACCCAGGTATGTGCCCTTGACCGGAAATCAAACCCCAGACCCCTCCATGCACAGTCGGAGCCTCTAACCCAGTGGTTCTCAACCTTCCTAATGCCGCGACCCTTTAACACAGTTCCTCATGTTGTGGTGACCCCAGTTTCATTGTTACAAATTGAACATAATTAAAGCATAGTGATTCATCACAAAAACAATATGTAATTATATATGTGTTTTCCGATGGTCTTAGACGACCCCTGTGAGAGGGTCATTCGACCCCCAAAGGGGTCGCGACCCACAGGTTGAGAACCGCTGCTCTAACCGCTTAGCTACAGGCCAGGGCACTTTGTACTTCTTGTTGGTGACTCACTGTGCTACGTGCCCCCGAGCACAGAGCTGTGTGCGGTCTAGTGTCCCTAGAATGTGGGGCTGTGACGTGCCTATGGCGAAGATACGTGTGTTGGTGCACTTCGTTCAGGGCTGAGTTACGGGGTGTCGGCCGTGAGTTCCATGTTAATGAATCGACCATATAGATTACATAAGGTGCTTTAAAACACAAGTGTACAGAAGACAGGATTATGTGTTGATGGACTGATGAAAATGTTGCGATCAGAGGCTGGCAGGAACCTAAGCCTGTTTCTCCCTTGGGAGCAAGTTCAGCATTCGCTAATTCAGTGTTTGCGGAAACTTTGTAGAACACAACTATGGTGAGTAATAAAAATCCCAATCCAAATGTTTGCATTAATGTTTCAGTAAAAAACTCTTCCTTCTGTCATTTCCTTCAAATATCATCAATAGATTTGTGCAGCTTGAGACGGAAACCCTTTGCCTCCACTCTAACAGGTCACAGCCAGGTGTGTTTCTCTTTGCACAGAAAAGTAATCTCTCTCGAAAGCAATCGGCTTTCCAATGTGAAAGTCTAAGGGGGCACTGTTTAAACATGACTCTTGTGGGATTATGATTTTGAAAACTACATTGTTTAAAATAACATGGACAGTACGAGCAATGACAATAAAAACGCGGCATAGGAATTTTAACATAGCAGCACAAATTGGAACTCTTACCTTTCTTGCCCAAGTCAGATATTTTATTGAAAAAAAAAAAGAGAGAGAGATTACAGTACTTAAAAATTCAAACACAAGGACAATTCAGGGTTGAGAGAAAGAAAACCTGAAAAAGCCCATTGTCTTCAGTAAAATTCTGAATACAAAAAAGGGAGACCCGGGAAACAGTTTATGGCCGAATGCACTAGTTTCATGATAAACACACACACAGAGCACATCTCCATCAAGTGAAACTCAATCACCTTTTTACAATTTAGAGAGGAGAGACGGCTCTTACTATGGCTAAGCCATGTATCATCAATACCATGAAGCTAGCCTATCACTTGTAATAGCTTCTATAAAATACCACAGTGAGACTGCAATAAGCCTAGAAAATGGGCTACAAATCCCAGCGATGCTCGGGCAGGCAGTGAAGCAAAAATAAAAATAGGTAAAACTGAACCAAGAACTGGAGAGCATTCATCCCGATTCATGACTGGGAAGGCAGAGTTCACAGGCCAAGGTTTTAAAGTGACGTGTTCAGATCCAAAAGACAGTCATTATACAAAATAAAAGCATTTATGTAATTCGGGAGGGGGGGGGGGGGATCGGGATCGTAAATTCTCAGGGCACAGGACATAGCACAGAAAGCTTACTTACAATTACGAAACACAACATTGTCCCTCTAAAACAGTGGTTCTCAACCTTGGCTGCACATTAGAATCACCTGGGAGTCTTTTTAAAATCCTGATTTCTGGGCCCCATCCTCCGGAAATTCTGTTTCTTTGTTATGGGGTGGGGCCACAACATTAGTAACAAAGAAAAAGAATTTCCGGAGGATGAGGCCCAAAGATCAGGATTTTAAAAGGATTCCCAGGTGATTCTAATGTGCAGCCAAGGTTGAGAACCACTGCTCTAAAACATCACATTAAATATGCGAAGGTAAAGAGACGCAAAGGTGCACTTGATCGCTGGCGATCTCCCCAGTTTAGACAAATAATCTAAAAGATGCCACACGTTTCAGATTGTAACAACTCTGGGTAAAAGAGATGCCAACTTTCAGTTTCTTTTCCATCATCATATTGAAGTTAGCCAGTAAATGCTGAATTAACAATCCACACAGTAATATAAAAATACATGTATTAAATCACAGTTTTCATCAATTATTGGAATGTAACAAAAATAGTCATCATTTTACTAACAACCGTTCAGAAAAACGCAATGACCCGAACATTTCGTGTAATGTCTAAATTCCACCATCGGCAGAGCTGTGACATTGCCCCTCTGCACGGTGACAGCGAGCTCATGCAAGTACTTCTGACACAGTGACACATGTGGTCTGTCATTCTGAGGGCATGCACGCAGCTCTCACTTTTGAACGTGACAACATGATTCAGAGTCGGACAGCATTTGCTGAAATATCAGCTTTCACATGATTTCAATATGCTCTAGGCTGAAAGGATCATTGGGATTGCTTTCGAGTATTGGGCAAAGCGCATAGTTTAAAAGGTAATAATAGTAAATAATTCTACTAGCACACACTAGTTATCACAGCGGCTGGTTTAACACTAGGATGATGCTGGCAGTACAATGAATACCATAGTATAAAATACAATGCGTTTTCCATACAGAGCACATTATCCACGTAGGAAGCACACTTAAACAAAATACAAACTCTGGCAAAAATGAGCAACCTCACCTACTACTCATCCTAGCCCTTGTTAAAATACCCTGAGTAAAAGGCAAATACTTTAAACAATGCTGGTTATAGAAGATTTCTCTAAAAACGAGCCTTAAATGTGAATGTGTCGCCATTTTTTATTTACAACGAGCTCTTAACTGGTCACGATATAAACACTGAGGAATACTTAATGTGACATCGGACATTTTCAATTCTCTAGCTTTTGTCAGCAGTTTAGCAAAACAGGTGATAGATACATAAATGGTTTCAATATTTTAAAAGTCATAAAAGAGAAAAATATATAAAATGTACAGTAGTTTCTACCCACCCCGGGCCCACCTAGGTCCCTAGAAAGCCGCCCAGCCAGGTTCGCTTCTGACTAAAGGAAGATCCCAGGCCTCCAGCAAACAGGCCCATCTTTCCATCAAGGAGGCTCCCACTCACTGGTACTCCTCCAGGGGAGAGGACAGGAGCCAGGGTCCCTCGAGTGCCATTCCCCAGATGCTCAAAACGTAACTAATTTATGAGCATGAGCAGATTTGGTTTATAGGGGAATCTCACTGGTCCAGTTTGGAGCCTACAAAAAAATGGATTGTTTTTAAGTATAACATTGGAATACAAATAGGGGACGAGGATGTGGCTTTTTATTCCACAGAAATGGATACGTTTCCAAACATAACAAAACTCAGACAGAAAGGCATGCCTACCATTGAAGGTGGGGTCCCTCCAGACTTTTTAATGTTCTTGGAAGGCATTCCACGGAGGCGACTGAGTCTAGCTTGGAAACCTGGAAAATCAAAGACCCGATTTAGGAGATCCTGTGATCACGGGAGCATAGGACAAGATCCTGTCAATTACAGAAGTAAAAAGATTGGAGGAGAGAAAACATCTCGAATGGTAGCAGGGGAAAAGGCAAAACTCATACTTAAAAGATCTGAACGAATGGCGGGTCGGGTTCCAGTGTGGTCAGCACACAACTACCGACTATTTACGTTTCTTTCCTCTCGATCCCCTTTCTGTCATCCCAGTGTGTTCATGATGGGCCTTTCTAACAGTCTGAAAGCATGAAAGTGTAGCTTGAGGTTCTTTCATGCCCATTTCAGCCTGTCCTCCCTCAACGACTATCCCGAGACTGACCAAGCCCGCCGGATGCGACATGCTACTGACCTCTTCTCGCAGGATGCGACATGAGGGGGAAGGAACCCGTTAGGATACTTTCAAAGACGGGGTCTGGCAAGTGTCTGTCCAGCTCGCTGGGATCTTCCTTCTCCCACCAGGGAATGACCCCCGTGATGCCACACGCTCCGCCCGAGTCCTTTTCGTAAAACCAGTCACTCTGCTCGTCGTCACCTGTGCAAACACGAGAAATGCCCCCAAGACTCAGCTGTGTCATCCCAACAAGCACAGGGGTCAGGTTAATGTTTAAAAAGCACAAGACATCAATTAAATGTGAACTTCAGATAAATGATTACTTTTTTAAAATATATGTATTTTTTTAAAATTGATTTCAGAGAGTTAGTGGGGGGGGGGGGAGAGAGAAACATCAATGATGAGAGAGAATCATTGATCGGCTGCCTCCTGTACATCCGCTACTAAGGATTGATCCTGCAACCTAGACATGTGCCCTGACTGGGAATTCAACCCTGAACCCTGACCTCCTGGTTCATAGGTCGACACTCAACCACTGAGCCATGCTGGCCAGACAACGACTACTTTTTAATATAAAGGGTGTGGCAAAAGTAGGGTTGCAGTTGTGAGTACACAAAAACAGTTTATTCTTGTATTATTATTTATTAATTAGTGTATTATTTGCCACATAAACTGTAAACCTACTTTTGCCCACCCTGAATATAGTACTTGTACAGAATTTTTAGTCAAAATACTGCATGGGACATACTTATTTAAAAAAATAATGTTATTTATCTAAAATTCAAATTTAACTGGAGATCCTGTATTTCATCTGGCAATCATATAAATAGTCCATAAAAAATTTTCATTCTACCCACAGCCATACTTAAAAAGCGTCTTTAACACTATAACAAGAATTGCCATCAACAAAAAGATAAAATGTTATGTGTTAGAACCAATGTGAAAAGCTAATCATTTGGCAAAACTGTAGGGAAATCCAAGGCAGTGACTACCCTTCCCACGTTAAGGAAAAACAAGCCTTAATCACCTGCTGGGAATGAAAAGATATAAGACTACAGAGTTTGTTCTTTGCAGCAGATAATGGTATATATTAGCCTAATTTCATGATTTCTATGGAGTGTAAAAGGGGAAAACAATCATGAACAGATGTGACTAAGTGAAATTAATCTAATTAAGTTCATTAAGAAATGGCTGTGAAAAAGTTGATTTTAAATGAAAAGTGACAATGCCACAGAGCTTACAATAAAACTACAAATGACTACAGCAATGTATTTATAAAACACAACACTATTCACAGTATATTCGAGAACATCCATGAGGATAATGATGGATCAATGTAAAATTCAATTTGAAATGTGCCAAAGGTGTGAATCAACAGTATTGTGTGTGTGTGTGTCTTAAGAACAATAGAGAGAATGTATAAAAAGACAATAAATACTAGCATAGTGTTCTAGCCACTCAATGTTTTTCAAAGATTGGTAGGCTTATCAAAATGTTACTTTAAAAAGTGTTTAATTTCATTACCAAAGTCAACATCTGTAATATAACTTTGGGGAGACGTGTATTTTAATAATAATTTAGGTATACCTTAGCCCCAAGGTCCTACCATATTTCAGCAGAATCTCAAGTTTAAAAAGTCTATGATTTTTAAAACAGTTATATATCTATTTATCCAGGACTAATGGTTCATAAGTAAGCAAACCATGATTATGTAATAATAATTTAAAGCAATAAATTTCGTTGTTTTCCTTGGAACTTACTAATTTCCTCTAAAAACTCTCAGGAAATGAAGTTAACATTCATGATTAAGTATTTGCATGTACACCTGCTGATCTTTTCCTTCCAGAACAGGTAGTTTCACAATAAGGCTGTGCTAAAGTAGGAATATCTCCAGGAAGTTTCAAAAATAAAAACCATCTAAGTGGTGAAACATTACTGTTGAACCGTTTACAATATTGAGCTTTGAAAATTGTCTAATCACAAACTGGACAGGACGCCTAAATGTCACAGCTGAATAAAAATGACAGATGACTTGCACATCCAACTTCAGAAATGCTTAAACAGACTGAAATACATTTGAATCAGGAGGAGAGTTGGGACCAGTGTCTTGTGAACTTGCTACAAGACACACAACAGAAAGACTGTAGGCATTCTCAAGGAAGATAATCCTCCCGTAATACTGTTAGCTCCACATCCTGGCTTTTGGGGATAATCAATTACTTCAGGTCATGAAGACAGGATGCTCTCCTCGAACGCCAGAGAACAACCCAACCTCACTCCACTCAGTAGCGTGTGTAAGGTAAAAGGATTGCAGTCGTCAACTTACGAAATAACTAGTAAGAAGTGAAACTTTACTATAAAGACGTTTCCCCAGAGAGAAAAAATGACATTTCAGTACCTTGCCTTCCCTCATCGTTGGTAAACAAGCCTGCATCCGTGCTGCTGAGGCTGCTGGAGTCGCTGCAAGGAGGGAAGAGAGAAAAAAAGATCAAAAGGACAATTGATCTCCCCGTTGTAACATTTTAAAGAGACGAGGCAGCTCAGGGGTGGAACTGGATGGAGCCTGACAAAGATCTGAAAGGAAACGAGATGGTTTTTTAAAATATCCAATTCAACTATCCTGGTTCCATTCACAACAGGGCATATTATTTTTGGCACATAAAACCCCAGGAATCTAATGGGACCCTGTCAGTAAGCCAGATGTGACTGCAACGAGGTGCTGACATAATGGATGTGTTTTATTATCTGCTTTCATCAAATGCTCACCACTGCCTTGTCAGGCCATGCGATTCGGCCTGAGCCAGAACACCAGTGCTCAACAGAACACGCAAGTCTCACTCAAAGGCAGCCCGAGCCTCTCCCCAGCACCTGACATGCAAGGGCAGGGGCTGAAATGACTTTTCGCAGCCACATCTGCAAATATCCTGAGAAGGCATCACTGAAGAGTTCACAACAACTCTCCTACTTGGCAAGGAAGAAAAAAGTTGGCAATGGAAACAATCCCTTACATCAAAGTTAAGGTCCCTCTGAGCAAACACTGAGCAAAAAGGAATATTTCCAACGTAAAGGAGGGAGCAGGCAAAAATAACAGGTTCTCATGACTTCCACTGAAGTTTGAGCATATGACAGAGTCAAAACGAACATACAAATTACAACAGACAGTGGACATTCAAATGACCAGAATCAAAACTGTCACTGTCCCAATAGCAGCAATGCTTAGGTGATACTATAGTTTAAGAAACATACAAAACAAGTCACATGATAAGAGAGGTTCGGCTTCTAAAGTAAATTGAATATGTTCTTTAAAAATTCTCATGTCCTCCTCTCTGACTATAATTCTTAATTTTCCAATCAGAAAATTACCCCAGCTGATCCAGTAACATGTAGAACTCCAATAACCTAACTTATTTAAAAAAAAAAAATCCCAACCAGTTTTTAAATATTTATATTTAAATCCAAATATATTTTCTGAATAGAAAATATTTGTTTATTTAAAAAAATAAAAATAAACATATATATATATTTAAAAAAATAAACATAAAAAATACATAAGTGAAACATTTTCCCAAGGAACTCTGAATTAGTATCTTTCCCTCTAACTTTCTTCAAATTAAGAGAATCTATGGAGTTCCCTGTACTGCACAAGTTTTAATGAAAGAAAGTAAGACTTTCTAAGAGCATCAAATGCATGGTTTCTTATTTAAAAACATATATATTCTTCTTTCTCTCTCTCTCTTTTTTAAAATATATTCTTACTGATTCAGAGAGGAAGGAAGAGGGAGAGAGATAGAAACATCAATGATGAGAGAGAATCATTGATCGGCTGCCTCCTACACTGGGGATCGAGCCCGCAACCCGGGCATGTGGCCTGACCTGGAATCAAACTGTGACCTCCTGGCTCATGGGTCGATGCTAAACCACTGATCCACACCGGCCGGGCTCAATTCTTATTTATAAATTCATTCCAAGGACATATACAGCTTGAAAAGCTTTGGAAGTAGTTTCAAAAAAACTAGCTTTTAAGTAACAAGAGAACAGTTATAGAAGAAAGTTTAAATTAAAAGAAAAAAATTGTTTTAATTTATTCAAGAGTGGGAACATCCTCCATGAAAATGTATACCTTGACTGGATGGCTGGGTGGCCTTATCACACCTTAGGGACTCAAATGCTTTTTACAATGAAAAGAAAGAGAGTTTCATCTCATTTCTCTCCCAGGGTAGATGTCTGTCAATAGAAGGCGGACATCAATAAAAGGAGGGGCTTGCACAATCAATCCAGAAAGCCAGCAATCTATGAATAATCCAGAACCGAGTATTTATCTCCTCTGCCACACACCCTCCCTCCCAGCCAGTGAGCAAGATAATTACTCTCAAGTCAAGCTAAGTGCCCCCCAGTCACAGTGGCCCAATGCTGACATACAAAGCATACAAATAATTCTCGCTCTGGCATAAAAGTGACAACTTTCTTGGAAGAAAAGCAGAATCTGTAAATTTCTCAAAGCCTTCCTGAAATCTTTTTTAAAGTAATTTTTACTTCTTTAGAAAAATTGCATACATGGCAAACCATCTGTAATAAAAGGCCCATTCTATAAAATTTTACCAGGTCCTACTCATATCTGCAATCATAATCATATTTACAAATATATATTATATACATACTAATACTACAGTACTAATATATATTCCATAGCTCACAATCCACATGATAAAAATGCCAGTCCTACAAATTAAAAAATCAAATACTCTTGCCCAGACCACTTGTAAGGAATGTGTTTTCTGCATTACAATCCCGCATTTGGTTTTAAGGACACAACTGAAAGGGTGAACAGTGTCAACACTTTCTCATTTCCTGCAAGTAGCATTAGTTCTGTGTCACAGAAAACGACCACTTACCTTTGGATGCTGTTAAAACAGGACTCAGTGCTGTGCTTTACCTGCTTTCCAGAACGGATGGTTTAGACCAAGCATGTCAAACTCGTGGCCCACGGGCCACATGCCTCGTTTATTTGGCCCATGTTAGCCTTGGGGTTTGACATGCTTGGTTTAGACTAACCATCAGAGGACCACATCTCCTTTGTCTAATGACAAGTTCAGGGGTTCCAGACGGTGAGGTGGGCTTTACAATTTATAAGTGGTCAGAATTCCTAGCAAGTTAGACTTCAAATTCCAAGCCACACGGGTTGAAGTGCTACTAACTCTTGATTCTCAGTAATCAGAATAAACTGAATGCCCTGGCCAGTGCGGCTCAGGGTGGTTGGGCGTCGTCCTGTGCACTGAAAGGTCGCTGGTTTGATTCCCAGTCAGTGCACATGCCCTGGCTTCGGGCTGGCTTCCCGGTAGCGGGTGTGCAGACAGGAGGCACACCCCCTATTGATGTTTCGCTCTCTGCTCTCTTCCTCTCCCTCTCTCTCTCTAAAACAAACAAACAAAAAAAAACAAAAAACAAAAAACAACAAAAACAAACAAGCAGCAAAATATCTTAAAAAAAATAAACTGATAAATTGTGAAACTAAAGAGAACCAATACTAAAACTCTATAATTAAATAAATAATTTTAAATCCAATCCTAAGAATTACCAATGTGCTATTATCCAAATGTACATCCTTTCCCATTGAAAACCTATTCCCTTTTCTCCTTTGTAGCTGAAAATTAAGTCATTATGACACAATCAAAAGGCCGTGTAAAATCAAATAAGCAATTCTGCTTTGGGCTGAACATCATAAATTATAAGGAACTATGACCATAGTTCAATAGTCACTACCATTATTATAAATTATCATTATTCTAAAAAAAGAATTAAAATACAAAACACATCCATCCACAACACCGTACCCACCCGCCCTTCTATGGAGGAAACAGGAAAGCCACCTTTCGCTCATCAGCTCGTCGGACACCTTCTGCTCTTCGTATTCCATCTTGTCCTTGGTCTGGCTCAGCTCCTCGCTGTCTAAAACCACGCCTTCGTCTTGCGTTTTGGGTCCCTGCCTGGGGACCCTCAGTTTCCGCTTCTTGACTTTGCTCTTGGCAAACTCCGGGTACTGGTACGCCCGGTCCTGGTCCATGTCCTGGTCCCTGCAGCCGTCGGGGGGCTGGGTCATGGGGCGCTTGCACGCGTCCTGCGGCAGGTCCAGGGCCATGCGCTTCACCTTCTCCCGGCGGCCGCAGGCTGCGGCTGCCCAGGCCGTCCAAGGCCAAGTCCGCCTCGTGCCACAGCGGCCGCTTGCCCCGCACGCCGTTGTTCAGGGTGGACGCCGGCCTGCGCTTGGCCACCAGCATCTGGTCGTCGGAGTCGCTGTGATCTTGCTTATGGCTGGCGGGGTTCTCCCTGTAGTCCTTGCTCGGCTCCTCCAAGCTGGAGTCGGAGCCCTCGCTCAGGCCGTGGCCGGCCTCCCAGGGGTGATGCGTGTTGTAGGACCTCCGCTTCCTCCCTCTCCTTTTCCGGGCCTGGCGTTTCAGGGGGCAGGACAGGCTCCGGGCGTGGTCCCCCGTCTCCGCAAAGCCGCCGCGGGCCTGCTCGGAGCTCTCCTCCAGGGCCGACACCAGGTCGTGCACCAGTTCTTCCATCGTCCGGCTGAAATGCCTGGGTTGTTCAAGAAAGAAAAATGCATCAACAAAACAGCATGAGCCATGTTAACCTGGCGTGTGACCGCTGATGGCTTGGTCTACATCTGACCATAATTAATAGTTATGACAAAGGAATGTTTAAAAGCGATTGAATGTTCCTCTCCAAGGTATGAGTTTTAAATATACTGACTCGTGTTAAGCTCCTTTTTCTTGTAGAAGTTCTTTGATTAAACACAGGAGTTAGGTCAAGACAGAGTGAGCCTATCAACAATGAAAGGTCTCAGGAATTTTATGTCTTTTCTGGGTGATTATGGAGAAGTTACTTCTGCTTCGGAAGCTGAGCTTTAGTCTACGCCTGGCCTTGCCTAGGGCCAGCTTTCCGGGATGGAAACAGAGAGAACTTTCTCAGTCCCCACCCCACACAGGCCTCTGCTCCCCACACACCCTGCAGTCCCCGCCAGGACAGGCCAGGGAGACGGAGAGACTGACGGGCCTTGACTTACGAGTTTAATTCGTTCCATGACTGAGCTCGTAACTCAGATTACTCGTATGTCAAATCATAAAGTGAATGAGTGAGACACGTGATGCTGGGCTGATGTTGTTGTGTTCACTGTGACGTTCGCTGCGCCAACTAGTGGTGGGGTATCTGAAGCTGGCTCGTAACCCGAATTTTAGCTCGCAACTCAAAGCAAAAAATCGGCCGAGAGACGGCTCGTATCTCGAAAAACTCATTAGTTGGGACACTCGTAAATCAAGGCCCCACTGTATATGTGAAAAGAGTTTAATCAGACGCAAGGCATATATTCACACCACACTCATCTCGGAACCCAGGGACACAGAAACTATGTTCAAATTCAATAGTAGCCTCGCTGTTCTAAAATGGCCCATTTTCCTTAGAGTTCATCTGAAAGTCTCTTGGCCTTTTTAAATTATTATTTTAATAAAAATAAACAGAAACCGTTGAACTGTGTCATCAGTGAGGAAATGATCCACTAGCCAGCAAGGATAGACATCGTATTCTTTGGGAATGTTTATAAATCACACTGGTCCTTCTAGAACCAACTCTGGAAGATTCTAGATCAGCCGATGTGACAGAGGGCCCAGGACTCTGATTTTATTTCTTAAACATGACAGGTAATTCAAATATGAAGATCATGAACAATCACATTAACAAGATACTCAGGATTTAGTTAAGTGCATGTGTCAGGTAAGGGCATACTATTGAAGGTGGTTTAAAGGTTCCCATACATATGGATGCTAAGAAGCTATAGCAAGATCAATGAGGTGTCTAACCAGGATTTAGGTAGAAGGTGGTAGAGGAAAAGAGGAGTTGAAAGAGTCACATTTTAAAATTAAATAGTCACCTGTCCCACAAGTTAGTATGAACATAGCAAGAGCACACCAGTCCACACAGCACATTTTGTCTCCCTTCCTTAACAAGATATTGCAGAGTGAAACATTTTAAGAAAAGTCCCCAGAAGAGGATATAAGATGGAAGTGTTCTAGAAGTACTTAGGGAATCAACATATTCTAATTGTAGATTGCACAATTTCTACCGTCTATAGCAGGGGTAGGCACACTTTTCCATAAAGGGCCTGATGGTAAACGTTTTAGGCCCTACAGGTTAGGGGGTTTCTGTCAAAACTATCAACCTTCACCATCACAAGGGGAAAAATACCTGAGGCCATACTTGAGCGAATGGGTGTGGCTGTGCTCTAATTAAATTTAGTTACAAACCAGGTGATGGAAGGCCATGGTTTATTGACTCCAGCTTTATAGACTCTCTGTAGTTCATAATTTCAGACACTCGCAAGTCCCCGATAATAACTTTCAACTTTGTCTTTTCATTTTAATGAGAACCTAAAAACAAACATCTTGTGATCCAACTGGACCTACCACCTATGAGGCAGCGCATACACAATGCTTGACAAACCACAGATGCTTGACAAATCATAGATGTGAAAAAAACCAAAAACTGTTGGGTGAGCAAACTAATGAATGACTAAATAAATGAACAAACAGCCAAGGAAAAAATATGACTTGACTAAAAATTTAGCAACCCAGGTTTCAAAACTTCTGCCACATTAACGAGACACTCTAGCTCCGTGGTCGGCAAACTCATTAGTCAACAGAGCCAAACATCAACAGTACAACGATTGAAATTTCTTTTGAGAGCCAAATTTTTTAAACTTAAACTATATAGGTAGGTACATTGTTATTAACTTCATTAGGGTACTCCTAAGCTGGCCTTTGCTAAAAACGTCCTCAATCTGATTGAGGTACATTCGCTGAGGTCGACCCCTTCCAACTCTCCCATCCACACTCGTCTTGTATACTTGTTTCGTCCATCTCCTTTCGTTCATCCTCTCTATATGTCCAAACCATCTCTACATACCTTTCTCAATTCTCGACACTACATCTTCTTTCACTCCACAACGTTCCCTAAAATTAACTTAATAAACTTTACTTAAAGTTGTAAGTCAACTTCGCACTGTACATGCGCGCCCGTGTGGTATTTTGTGGAAGAGCCACACTCAAGGGGCCAAAGAGCCGCATGTGGCTCGCGAGCCGCAGTTTGCCGACCACTGCTCTTAGTGGTTAGTTAATAAGTGTGTCAGGTAAGGGCATACTATTGAAGGTGGTTTAAAGGTTTCCATAAATATGGATGCTAAGAAGCTATAGTCATATGCCCAAAATCATACCGGCCATTGCTTTGATTTCTAATTGTTGAAACAGAAACTTGACTCAAACAAACCTGACAACATGAAATTAAAGACAATAAAAAAGAGTCGTTATTTAAAAATGAACATTTTTCACTATGCAGTTTTGCAGACCTAAAAATATATATATAATAAAAATACCAAATAGGAATGAAACTACAGAAACAAAGGTACCGAATCAACAGTTTAATGTTTTTTAAAAGCAAAGCCACATCAAGTTAGATAGTATTGTTCAATATGCTAATTATCAAGGACTTAATTTTAAAATTTGTTTAGTTCAATCTTTAAATATACTTCCTCCAAAAACCCCAGAAATTGACTTTAATTATAAATTATTAATAATGTAAAAATAAAGAAAAGTGTATCGTAATACTAAATGTTATTTGTCCACCAAATGAATCAAATTTAAAAAGTTAACATTAGATTAACCAATTTAGATATACTTTGGATCCTAATTTCAAAAATGTATGTGAGTGATGAGGCAGGAAGTAGTAGACACTCAAGCTATTATAACTTTCTTTATAAAAACATAATATGAATCACTAATAAGATTAACTTGAACAAAACGTATATATTCCTTTCCAGACACATGAAAAGTCACAGGATCTTTATTATTTAATTGTATAAAACTTTTCTTCTTTAGGCTTCCTTACTATAAAATATAGTTATTCTACTTTGCAAATTAACAAAGAGATAAATTACCCAATTGGTGCCTAAAAGCAGTAGTCAATATGAGAGTTAAATACATCAGGAATTCCAGGTTGGTTAACAAATCCAGGCATATTCTTTCCAGTTCACATATTCCTTAAGATATTGTACATTATTCCTTAAGGTATTATACATTACATAGGCAGTACATGTGGATTATTTAAGAATTTTTGTAAATATACTGGAATCATACTGCAAATATGACACCTGGGCACGTTACTTAAATTATACTTGCCCCTCTCACCGTCTATAAAATGCAATAATAAAAATAAAATCTCAAAAGATTTTACATAAGATGATATGATATGTATGTAAAACCTGCCAACAAGTAACAGCTTAGTAGTAGCATCCCCACGGGCACTGGGCTCTCACCACTGACATGAAACTTACATGCATAGTAGAGCAAATGTCCCATCAATGAATAAAAAAATAGTCCAGTAAGAAATGATGAATGACAGGATGGCTGCGCAGATAAACTAGAAAATAAAGGTTCCAGTTGTCTGGAACACATTCATTCTGCAAAATCAAGCATGATTTTAAGAATTTCATTCAAAAACACTGATTAAGTGCTAGGCACTATTTGATACTCTGGCGTCATAAGGGTGAGTCGTATGCTGCCAGATGAAAAAAGGGTAGGCTCTTTCAAAGAGAACTGTATTATAAAGAGGTGCCTAACCAGGGTTTAGGTAGAAGGTGGGAGAGGAAGGAGTTGAAAGAGTCATATTTTTAAATTAAATAGTCACCTGTCCCACAAGTCAATATCGACACAGCAAGAGCAGACCAGTCTACACCGCACATGTTGTCTCCCTTCCTTAACACAGAGCTTGAATAGTGAAACATGAAGAAAGATACCCTGGAGATGTTATTCCAGGTGATGGAAGTGTCTTATATTTTGTGGGGTGTGGTGGTTGCACAGTATATCCACTGCCAAAACAAAAAATACTAAACACATAAGAAATATATGTCTTACCCTAAGCTAAATCACATCACCATTGTAATAAAATAAAATAAAATGTGCTCCCTGCTTTTCTGAATGGAAAATGTGAGAATTTAAAAGGAGCATAAACAATCTATAATTCATTATAAAATGAACTACAGGGTGGTCTGATCACTTTCCAGACAAGATATTCTTTTAACTTTTCAGATGAGAAATTACTGGGATTCCCTGTGTTCTTAATTGTTGCCTAATCTAGGAATGGACATACATTTTTGTTTTAGCCACATTTCACCTGTTGTTCCACACTGGCTGTTTGAGAATTCACTGTCAGTGGGAAATCTGCTTGCTTGTTTCACTGCTCGCCTTGGGAAAAGATCGCGGGAGGAAACAGGACAGGCATTGGCGTTTTCAACTAGAAATCCAGCCCCCAGCCCCCAGCCTCCAGACTGGAAAGTGCAGGGCGATGTTGGACAGGTCACTCCTGGATCCTGTGCCAGTAATAACCTTCTACCACAGGGCTGTCCTAAGGATACAGTGGGAGCACTTGGAAGAGTCCAAGCAATATATCAATGCAGTGGTTCTCAACCTTCCGGCCCTTTCAATACAGCTCCTCATGTGGTGACCCAACCATAACATTATTTTCGTTGCTACTTCATCACTGTCATGTTGCTACTGTTATGAATCGTCATGTAAATATCTTGATAGGCATGATGGTCTTAGGCGACCCCTGTGAAAGGGTCGTTCGACCGCCAAAGGGGTCGCGACCCACAGGTTGAGAACCGCTGTAAGTGACATGGGTTGACAAGACACTGTAGAGGTAGTCAAGCCCCAGACTTCATCCTGGCATGTACATGTCCTTAGGGAACTCCGTATCTATCTCATTTGAACTGGAACAGAATGTTCAAGGGACAGAAACAGGTTACTCCCACTCCACAAAAAGGGGGGGGGGGGGGCGAGGGGGCTGGGTGGGTGGGGTCGCTTTCCGCTACCAAACTTCCAGAACTCTAGATCTCTGGAATGTGATCTGCTGTGACCTAGTCCATTTTAAAAGGTAGATGCGGGCGTTGGGCCTGGCTCAGACCCATGCTTCCGGTCCCTAAGCGTGTCAACCATCACTGGGAAGTGACCTGCCCAGGAGTCCAGGAAGCTTGGCTCCTAAAATGCCGCAGAGTGTCGGGCGAGCCACCAGCCGGAGTTTTCCGAATTCCCTCCCCGAGCACCAGCACAACCCCCCCCAGATCGCATGCCTCCCTGCCTGAGGCCCACCCGCCACCGCTCCCGCCCCCTGCCACGCCAGGTACCGCGGCCTCGGGCCCCCGTCCTGTGTCTCCTCCCCAGGGCCGCCAGCCTCACCAGCGGTTCCCGGCGGCTGGAGCTCCGATCGGTGGGCGCCCGGCGGCCCCGAACATTAACGACACCCAGGAGCCTGGCCTCGAGGCTCAGGCCCGAGAATTGCCTCCAATCGGCGCAACCCCAGCGACTGGCGCCGAGCGGTTCAGCATTTTGAGCGGAGCTTCCGGGAACCCGATGGAGGCGGAAACCGGAAGTCGGAAGCAACCACTCGTCCTCTCCCCCCCATCAGCACGCTGTCTGCCTCACCTGGAATCGCCTGCTTTTACTCACAGAGGCAACGAAAGTAAATTTGTATCCTACTCAAAATATATTGGATTTTTTTATAATATTTTAGAAACAAACAGGGTGGGGAAAAATGGAGTAAACCAAAATGGGACCCCCCTGGATCTGCCTGATGGTTTGACCCGGTTGCCTTGGAGACCGGCAGCAACATCAGTAGGAAAGCCGACGCCAGAGGCGATGGCCTCGCTAGCCCGGCTGCAGGCGCGGTCCGCGCTTTTGGAACATCAGTACTACTTTAGAAACAGGTAAGCCATCCACGGGGCACCGCTCAGCGCTGGCTTGGACTTTAGCTGTTTTTCAGCAGAGGTTTCCTAACAACAAGTTTTCTCATTCAAGAAGTATAAGCCTGCCCTTCATTTGTTGGCTGCGAACATAATCCCAAGTTTAAAAGTAGTATTACCATACAGGGGATTATCCTTAGGGAGTGGAGGGGGGCGTAGATATCAGCTTGAGATGATTTAAGTAACAGCCCGGCGTAAATAAAATTGTAAAATGAAGTGTTGTGGTTTTTTTTTTTACACCATCACTCCGCAGTTTGATGAAAAGAGCTTTAATAACCTGATTGAGGTCACCTGGGCTCCCCTATCTGGGTGAGCTAGTGTGTCCCCCATACCTGGGAATTTGTGCCTCCATTCTTTCAGAAACATCATTGAACTCTGTTCTGTGACTCGTTTGTCTCCGTAAGTGGACAGTATCTAAACTATTTGGGATAATTAGTATCGGTATATTCATTAATAGGAGAGGGTTTACTAGGCACGTGGGCGATCATCAGAGCACAAAGTATAGATTAGGCATAGTGTCTGCCTTTAAGGAGGTTGACATCCTTGAGACCTAAGAGTGAAATGATATTCAAAAACTAATAATTTTACACATCAATATATCTTATAATAGAGGGCAGCTAATATTGGAATTTTATTCCTGGTATCTAAAATAGTTACAAGGTATATGATAATGAGAAGGAAAAACTATTGGGTTTTTAAGCTAGTATTTATTCAGTAGCTAATACATGGAATTCAGAGTAAGCACAGTATGCTAATGTGCAAAATGCATAGTTTTTGCATATTAACATATTTAACCACACATTTTTTCATTTCCTATTTATCATCAGTTAATTTGTGGCCACTGATGATACACAGGAATATAGTGTTACCCAGGGTTATAGTGCTTATTTCTAGTTGATGATGAAGTGTCTAGGAACTTCCAGCTTTTTCTCGATGTTTTATTACATTCCCATTAATACTTTTGGTCTTTCTTCATTAATAATTCATTTAGTATTCCTTGTGATAATACTGATCATAATAAATTTATTTCAAATTCATGCAGATGTCATATTTTATTCACTGCTATAGGATTTTCATCGTAATTTGGAACTAATTAATATACCATTAAAATAAAGTGTTACCCACATTTTTCATTTTAAACATAAAATGTCTAGCAGTTCATGACATATTGTATGAGTATTCAGCAGCCCAGTGGTAATCCAAGTATCTGTAAATTTCATTTTTAAGCAGTTTTTAAAATAGGAGCAACAGATAAATGTGGATAGAAGTCAAATTTCAGCACATAAGTTAAAACTTAGTAGTAAGTGAACTACTAGATATTTTTTAAATGTTGCCCTTTAAGATATATAGTTCTAATAAGTATAGGACAATACTTGTGCTTGGATTTATATACATTATTATTTATAACTCCAAAATGAAACAATTTAATTTTGCTCTTGACTATGTATTATATGTTAGCATTATTACCAGGAGATATTAGAATACATAAACTCAAAGTAGATCATTTGATTGCTTATCTTTTGCATGTCTAACAAGAATTATAAGTAAAGGATAAGTTCAAACTACACATTAGTTCAAAGGGCATATAGCTGTATCTATACACCTATTTGTACTTTTTCACCCTCTTTTGCAAAGGTAGTCGGTGTTAATTATTGGTGGAAAAGAAGAGACAGCTGTGCTCAGTCATTTAAATAGAGACCATTAAGAAGAAGGAAAATAGATCTACTGTGATATTAAATGTTAATGGCAACAGTGGGTTAAATAACCTTAAGAAACCATTTAATCCTGTTATCATGACTTTCACTTCTCATCAGCCTTATTGAGTGAAGTTACTCTTTCCTTATCTTCCGAATGTTCTTCTTTGTCGTTGTCTTTTAAAAATATGGTTTTATTGATG